AAAAAAAAAAAAAAAAAAAAAACAGGTAAAAATAGGTAAAAAAGTTTGTATATAAAAGTTGAGTGGGATAAGAAAGGAAAGCTTATCTAAAAACAGTAAGAAAAGTACTTCTAGAAGTCCATGTAATTCTGAGTAGAAGTTAAATTTTGGTTATTTTTTGAGAACAACAACGAAAAAAACTTGAAAAAGCAAAACAATAATAATCTCCCTTAGAAACACTCCAGAAAGCAGAGCTGCCTACTTAGTATATGAGCAATAACAGGCTCCACCTGGCCTGACATTTCACCATTAAGGACCTATCAGATTCGCACAGTGGAGCTCTTTTGTCATCACTGATGAGTTAAGGGTACCATATGCTTTTGGGGAGCCGTATCTGTGTGTAATGTTTCCAGCGCCTCTCACGGTCTGGCTTAGCTCCCAGGCCTCTGTGGGTTGGCTGTCCTCCCTTTTTGTACCTCTTCTTTTCTTTGATTTCAGGAAAATGCCAATATATAAGCAGGATATTTCAAAGGACTTAAGCTGAATGAGGTCAGTGACCTAAAGACCTGCTTTGCAAGTCTGGTGCCTGCTTGGCTGGCAATGAATTTTCAGTAAGTGTTGACTGAAAAGTGAGGTCTAGACACTCTCACAGGACTTACATATTCTTGCAGGAAAGCCACTGGGATCCTGTAGTGGTGAAAGTGACAAGCAAGGAGGGGGATCACTTTGTAAGGGGACCCCCATTTCTCCCTTCAAGACACATGACCAGAGAGCTGTCACTTTTATTGCTGGGGATCCTGGCTTTGCACAGGACCTACAAACCATAGGTTGAAACTTGACTGCATTAAAAGTGCTCCTTCAGGGCTAGAAAGATGGATCAACAGTTAAGAGCATGTACAATTGTTCTTCCAGAGGACCTGAGTTTGGTTCCCAGGATCCACATCAGGCAGCTCATAACTGCTTGTAACTCTACCTCCAGGGGATCCAATACCTTCTTCTGGCCTCTTTGGGGACTGCCCCCGCATGCACAAACCCATACAAAGACACAGACACACACAAAGACACAGAAACAGACACAGACACAGCCATACACACACACACACACACACACACACACACACACAATTATAAATATAATTAGGATAAAAAGACCCCAGAGAAATGTAGCCAGTTTCTTGGCTAAAAGTCAAGATGTCCTTGGGCCTGTGAGCAACATACTCTGTTCCAAAGGCCAAAAATGTCAAAAGTAGTTGGGCGCTTGTATCGAATCCTTAAAAGATTTTAGGGTTACCTCTTCAGAGGGGGGAATGTTGGAGGGGAGGGGGTGGGCATGGATTTGATCAAAACACCTTATATGCATGTATGAAATTCTCAATAAAGTTTTTTGTAAAAGTTAAAAAAAATAAACACTGAAAAAAAAATTTAAAAACAAAAAGGGCTCCTGCAGGCCAGACATGGTGGTTCATCCCTATAACACCAGCACTTGGGAGGCTGAGATAAAAACTCGCCAGGCGTGGTGGTGCATGCCTTGAATCCCAGCACTTGGGAGGCAGAGGCAGGTGGATCTCTGTGAGTTCAAGGCCAGCCTGGTCTACATAGTGAGTTCCAGGACAGCTGGGGCTACAGGGAGACAATGTCTTAAAAAGACAAAAAAAAAAAAAAAAAAAAGACCTTGAGTTCAAGTCCAGACTGGGCTGCATAATGAATTCCAGGTGAGCCTGGGCTACATACAGTAAGAACTTGTCTCAAGTGTGTGTGTTGGGGATGGGGAATTCCTGAAAACTGCTTTCCAATGCCAGTGACTTCAGCTTGTCAACCTGAGGGTCTGACAGGCTCTGCCAATACCAATGCTGGGCCAGCTCCACTTCTTTCTCCCCTTTCATGAATGGCAGAAAGTTAAATTTCTGTAGAAATGATGAAAGGACAAATGACTTTTCTCATTAACTAGGGAAAGGTGGGGGCCAGCACCGAAAAGAACCACATCTCCATAAGTCAAAGGAGAAAGAAGTCAGTCACACACTGCAAAGCTTTGTGGGAACATCTTCCTGATGCCATTTCCCATCCCAAGTTAATAAGCTTCTAAAATATTTTGATTTTCAGATGGGAATGACTGGGGAAAGAAGTAGAATTCACTGTGTCTTTGGTAGGGATTCATCCAGGTTGGGGTGGTTCCAGATGATGGCAAGGCATTGTGTGTCTCTGTTAAGCTCTGGCTTACTTAGAGCATGTCTTAGGCTCATTAAAGGTAATAACGAGGAAATTCCCAAAGCATGCACCTCATCCTCTGATAGATGCTTGCGTCAGGAATCAGGGTTTGCTGACAGAATGCGTCTGTGGAAGAGTTTGGAAGGATACATTCACCAAATCTTTTATAGGTCTTTCATGACTTCACCCAGAGCTAAACTTAGAGATCAAATTATGTTTGGAATTGTTCAGAAGGTTTCTTCTGTAAGTACTCAGAATTACATGCTTATATATGGAAATATTTCAAAGGCAGAAAACTTGGTAACATAAAGAATTTTCCAGGTTAGAAAGAAATAATATTTTCCCTTACCAACATCAAGGCCCTTTGGTCTTGGGTTGCACTGTTTATACCCTTGACAGCTTCGGAGCTCCATCAGCTGTGTGTGTAGCTGATTCAAAATGCCCCGTTCCACCGTGTGCACTGTATTTGTGAGCTGTGGACAAAGAAGCCGAGATAACTGACTTCAGTACATGTCTGGTTACTCCATTTTCCACTACCTTCATGAAATGAAAACATATCTTACCTGGTAAGGATCTGTATTCATATCAAAATACTCCAGAAAGCCAGTAGCAAACTCACAGAAGAGAAAATTATGTGTCTCATTAACTGTACGCAAACACCAGTAGGTGTTATTGTTAGAACTTGTGCAGGCACAGAAAGATCCCACTGTTGGATAAGAAAGAAAAACAGAAAAATGAAAAGAATGAACGACCTTTGGCAGGCTGGCAGCCTCTGAATTTCTTATACTGTGATTTGATGTCAAAGACAACCGTATCCCTTCCTCCACACAAATTGGCTGTGAAATTAGAAAAGACAGGGCGCTCCTGTAGCTGAAGACCAAGGCCAAGTTTCAGCCCATTAAATTACTCTCTCCTTAACTCTGTCAGGCAGTAGTCTCCAAAGTGGGGTGAGTGGGTGGATTGTGAGGGGAGTATCGGGACTTCTATTTATGGTTATTTTAGTCTTTTTAAAAAATAAATTTAAAAAATATTTTATTGAATTTTTTTAGATTTCATACAATGTATTTTGATCATAATCAGCCCCCTTCCCTGTATGTAACCCCCTTCCTGCCTGATTTCATGTCCTGTATTACTTTTTTGAAGGTCTAGCGAATCTAATCTGTGCCCCCGAATGCCTTTTGTGTGGGTCCATCTCCTGGTATTTGGTTAGAAACCTGACTCTCCCTCTTTCAGCAGCTATCAGTTGTCAACAGGTCGATTGGGGTTTCTAATCCATGCCTCCTTCTATGCGGGGATTTTGTCACCACTGCTGTGAGTTCATAGGAGTAAATGCCCTATTGTCTGTAAAACACTGTTTCCTTCTGGTCACCACCTCAGGCTCTTGCAATCTTTCTGCCCCCTCTTCCACAATGATCCCTGAGACTTGGGAGGCAAGGGTTTGATGCAGGGGGTCCCATTCAGGCATGAGAATTCTGCATGTTTTTATCTTTTTTGAAAGAAGAAAAATATGGCTATTTCATAAAGAGAACTATTGCCCTCACTTTGACCCTGGGTCACATAGCCAGTGTCACAGTGGAAAGACAGAGTTTTCAACAGGGATGGAGCCCAGCTTTGTGGGTTTGTAGATAATGTCATTTGTAATCACTGAAGATTCTTTACAATATTTTGTGTGTGTATGTGTGAGTGCGCCTGTGGAGGTCAGAGGACAACCTTAGGTGCCATTCCTCAGGTAGTATCCACCTTGAGACAGGGTCTCTTGCTGGCCTGGAAGTCCCTTAAGTAGCCTACACTGGCTGGCCATCAAGCCCCTGGGCTCTGCCCGTTTCTAGCTCCCCAGCACTGGGATTATAAGTATAGTCACCAAGCCTGGCTTTTTAAATGTGGGTAATAGGGATTGAATTTAGGTCCTCATGCTTATGTGGCAAGCACTTTTCTGATTAAGTTACCCACAGATCCTTCCTACGACACTTTAACATGTGACAAGCTTTGACCATAAATACCTGTTATATCATGGAAAGGCTCAAATTTAGAAACAAACCACCCATTCTTCTCTGTAAAAATGGAGAAGGCTCTAAACGTAATCATCTTTCCTGTAATGATAGAGTTTCAGAAATGCGCTTTCTAGGAAATAGCTCTTAAAACAGGACAGGCACAGTTAGTGGATGGATATATCTTGGACATAATATGCTTGCAATGACTTAGATCATTTAATACTTCAATAACTGTTAGAGACATATTACTACTTCTATACCCACTTATGCATGGGAAGACTGAGGCCCAGAGTCATGTAGGTGACAACTGCAGCTTGGGGGTCTGGCTAAAGTGCTAACTTTTGGCTTCTGGGCCAGCTCTATGCAACATTATAGACATTGAAGCTGTTCCCTTAAACTGAAAGGGAACTTTGAAACAATGAGTGAGAAGTGATTACTTTTTCAACTATCTTAAAAGACTAGTTTTAAAAAATTTATTTATTATTTTTATTTTATGTGTATGCGTGTATTGCCTGCATGTAGGTAAGTGCACCCGTGTTGTACAATGCCCGCGGAAGACAGAAGAGGCTGTCAGATCCCCTGGAACTGGAGTTATGGACAGTTGTTAGCTGCCATGGTGGTGCTGGGATTCGAACCTGGGTCTTCTGCAAGAAGAGCCAGCATTCATAACCGCTGAGCCATCTCTCCAGCCCCATTTTAGGAGTAGTTTTACAGATTCACAGAAAAATTGAAGGGACGTGCACAGTGCTGCATCTCTTTCCCATTATCGCAGGCTGCTCCTGACACCCACAACAGTGCTCCCCTGCTTCAGTGTCTGAACCTGCCCTGGCACATTATTTTTGATGCTGCTTAGTCTACAGGTTTGGACTATGTAAACCCAGGCTGGCCTCAGACTACTGATCCTCCTGTCTCTGCCTCCTGAATGCCGGGAGGGTTTGGACAATGATGTGTCAGCCACTCCAGTATCCTACAGAGATTTGCATTTCAGTGACCCAAGATTCCTTGTGTTCTTCATGTTCACCACTCCTATACCCCAGAAATGTTTCTACAAAAGAAAAGAATGTCATAAAAATAGATGATTAAGCCAGGCATGGTGGTGTAGGAGCCTTTAATCCCAGTTCTAGGGAGGCAGGGGCAGGCTGAAAGACTGATCTTTGCGAGTTTGAGGCCAGCCTACTCTGCAGAGTAGCCAGGGCTACATAATGAGACTCTGTCTAAAAAATATGTTAGAATATTTTCATCTTTATATGATCTTTTCCCTCCAAAAGTACTGTAAGCATGTCTTTCATAATTTATATTCTCTATATATGAACATTTAGCTCACATCTACACATTAAAGTTCAAGGAACCAGAACTTTCTAATCTATAGAAATCTTTCAAATCAATAATTTAAATGGGTTTTGAACTTGTTTCATAAAATATACAAGTAGAATAACTTCCGATTGCTTTGAACAAATAATTGATAAATCTCAGGGATGATAGAAAAATTTAAAGTGTAATTTCAGTAAACAACTGTTTAGTTAATGATGGTCTTAAAAATGGAAACTCCCGAGTGCCTCAGCATGCTAATGATGCAGTCTACTGAATCAGCATCTGCCTGAGTAATCTTCCATTCAGGTAATGTATCCTGGTGCACTGCATAAAAGCTGTGGCACTGAGATTTTTGTTTTAAGTAAATGAGTGAGTACACACCTTTGGAGACCTCCGAAGATGAAAATAAAACTACTCTTAAAGATGTTTTACTCCTATTGCTTAATTAAAATTTCATTCTGTGTATCTTCATAATACACAAGGCAAGTTAGTATAGTAGTATGCAAATAGCCTAGTTGAATGCAGTCTGTGTGTTCAGTTGTGCAACTTATATGGTATGGAATAAAAAAGATTTAAAGGAGAGATGGTTAGGAGTTAAGAGTGCTTTCTGTGCAGTCAAGAGGACAGGAGTTCAGATCTCAGCATCCACATAACAAGCCAGGGGTCCTGTAAAATGCCCGATACCCACAGATCTGAGGGATACAGTGCCCTCTTCTGGTCTTTCATGCACCTACGTGCACATCTCTGCATATATTCACCCAGTCATACAGACACATAAAAATAAATCTTTTAAGATGTTTAAAATTACTGCATGGGAGGCTGATGTGCTGGACTGACTTGATTTTCTCTTCTATTTTCGTTGTTATTGCTTTGGAATATCTACTGCTACCCCACAGGCACAAGTTGGTATGGCGAGTAAATGGCATAACACAATTAAGATGTGAAGTAGACAGAAATATTAAAGCATATCACATAGTATTACTTTTTAAATTATTTAAAAATTTTCCTCCAATGTATAGATTACATATGTATATACATATGTATATATGTATGTATATACAATGTATAGATTACATATTACAGGAATGCATACAAACATATGTCTCTGGGACCCTGATATGAATGTATTTTTTATTGCGGGCTGTTGGGAAATATATTCTGAGCACCACTGTCATAGGATATTGGTATCCCAAACACCAAGACTGATGCTGCGTGCAGAAAAAAGCACCTGTGTGGGTTGAATGAAGTCTAGGTTCTACTTTGCTCCCAAGAGCCAAGTGACACAGGTGACCACCTTGTCCCCCCTCCTGTCCTTGTGTCCCTGGCACAGCAACACAAGTGGCAGACACACAAAGACTGATTAAATTGAAATGAGCTGGTTTGATCTTGGACAAGATTGTGCACTTTTCTGTTCCTCAGCTGATGCTGTTGAAGGACGTCCTTTGGGTCAGGGGACACACTGTTACAGAGACATGGTGCCTTATCTACCCTACAGTCTCATGGGGATGACAAATGGTAAATGAAAACAAAGTTAAACAATGACATATAATTACAAATGTGGCCCGTTCCATGGAGAAAAGGCAGCGCTTGCTGCAGTGTTCAGATGGCCCTCAGCATCCACAGGGATTGGTTTCATGATGCTCTGAGGATCGCAGAATCAGCAGATACTCAAATCTTTCATATCAAATGCCTATCCTCCTGCAAACTTAAATCCTCACTGGGCTACTTAAAACACCTAATAATATGACTGCTGTATAAATAGTTATTATATTGTATTCTTTAGGAAATTGTGACCAGATAAAAACATCTGGTCATGCTCTATATGGAATTTTTTTCCTGACTATATACCATCTTTGGTCATGTATATAGAGGGTTGACTGTGTAACAGCTTAATGTAGTCTACAGTACAGTGTCCATAAGAAGAGATGCTATAGTTGAAATATTAGAGATCAATATATGTTTGGTAAGTAGAGAGCTAATGGTGGGCACAGGAGCAAGAGACTTCTAGGAAAAGGGACCAACATATGCAAACGCCCTGTGGTAGAAGGAAAGAACTGACTCCCGTTAGTTGTCCTCTGACCTCCACTATGTTCACCATGGCATCCTGAAAGCACTCAGACAAACAAATAAATACACATACAAATAAGTAAATAAAATTTAATTTAAAAATTTATTATTTTTTATTTTATGTGTATGAGTGTATTGCCTGAATGTGTGTAAGTGCACCTGTACCATGCAATGCCCATGGAAGTCAGAATAGGGTGTTGGATCCCCTGGAACTGGAGTTACGGATGGTTGTTAGCCACTGTGTGATGCTAGGAATTGAACCTGGCTTCTCTGCAAGAGCAGCCGGTGCTCTTAACCTCTCAGCCATCTCTCCAGTCCCCAGATTTAATTTTTTTTAAAGTGAGAGGGAGGAAATGGCCCTAGAGTAGGACTGGACGGCATATAGGGTTTTCTTGGATATGTAAGGATTTTGCTCTTTATTTAAGAAATAAATAGGATGTTATTAAGAGATCGTTCCAGGGGCTGGAGAGATGGCTCAGCATGTTTGAGTACTAGCTAATCTTGCACAGGACCCAGGTTCTGTTCCCAGCCCCCACATGGTAACTAACAACCTTCTATAACTCCAGTTCCAGGGGATCCAATACCTCTTTTTGGCCTCCACGGGTATTGCACACATGTGGTGCACTTACATACATGCAGACAAAACACAAAGACATCTAAAAGAATTTTAAAGAGGTCATTCTAACTGTGCAGAATGTCTTGGAGAGGGCAGGAAAGGCATCAGGGAGGCCACACAGGGAGTTTGCCAGTGGCTGGGGGGAAAAAGGATGGTGGCCCAGGCAAGATGGCCTCCAAGATGGAGGAAGCAGACCCTCTTCTAACATGGTTAAGCTAAAATTTCCTGATCTTTGTTCTTCAAGGGACTTTCTACTCCTGGGCACATCAAATTGGTTACTTCCTCTGGATCCCTGCTCATACTGTCTCTCAGCTGACCCCTTCCACTTGGACAGTTGGTTTTCCCCCAACTCTTTAGATTTCACTTTTTGGCAGAGATCCATTGCTGTAATTTGGATACCAAATGTCACCACGGCCCTGGAGGGGTGCTACTGGGAGGTGGGGAAACCTTATAAGGTGGGATAGCAGGGCTTATGTCATTGGGGCATAAGCTTGAAGGGGCAGTGGGATGCTGTTCTTCTTTCTAGCTCTTTCCTTCCAGGCCACCCACCATAAAGTAAACAGATTCCTCTGTCTCGTGTTCCCACCATGATGCCCCAATACAAGCCCCAAACTCTGCAACCTCTACAACTGTGACTGAGTTGATTATCTCTGGCATTTTTCTATAGTAACAGAAAGCTGACTGACACACCCATCATCTTCATCTTCTCTAAAGGGTCCCATTAAAAATGTAATCACTGCTTCTTTCAGTCCATGACAAGAAATTATAATTGTTTTACTTTATTTACTTTCTTTCTTTACCCTCCACACTACCATAAAGTAAACAGATTCCTCTGTCTCGTGTTCCCACCATGATGCCCCAATACAAGCCCCAAACTCTGCAACCTCTACAACTGTGACTGAGTTGATTATCTCTGGCATTTTTCTATAGTAACAGAAAGCTGACTGACACACCCATCATCTTCATCTTCTCTAAAGGGTCCCATTAAAAATGTAATCACTGCTTCTTTCAGTCCATGACAAGAAATTATAATTGTTTACTTTATTTACTTTCTTTCTTTACCCTCCACACTAGAATCAAAGTGTGATGGGGACAGAACCCCAGCAAGCTGAGTAGACCTTGGCGACTCCTAAACTCCATTTCAGGAGCCATTTTAAAAGCTGAGCGCTCTGGCTAAGAGTCACTGGGCCTCACTGTGAAAATGCATGCAAAGATGAACATCAGTCAAGATGCAACAAATTTGAAAGGTAATGCAACGCTTATGCTGGACAGGGCCTCCAGCTTCTGAAGGAATGATCTGTGGATTCCTCAGAGCTCCAAATCCCTGCTTGATAGGCAGCCTGGGTGGGCTCTGCTGACCCCTCACAATTGGAGGTTGGGGGTTTTATCAGCTCTCCTGGTAAGCCTTCAGTTCAACGATGTGCCAAAAGAATCTAGGGGACTAACCCTCTACTGTTCTGTGAATGCTGTGCACAGACCAAAGAAAATAAACACTTTCATTTTAAAAGTGCACAATGCCTGCACATCCTCTGCAGTTCCAGATAAAATTCAGTAATTGTGTGGAGCCCAGACCCCACCAAAGTGACCAGTGATAATTAGAGAGTGTGCCCTGTATTATCCTGCATTACTTTACCTTACTTTTATTTCCTTTTATAATACAGTGTCACTAGAATTAAAGCAAACAACCAAATCCTCTTGGGGTAAAACTGCTTACGTGTTTATTGCTATTGATCTGAACAGGTTTATTAGGCAGTATCTGCCACCCAAGGCCTCTGTGTGAAATATCAGGAAGAAAAGCCCAGGGAGCGACTTGGTGTTTTTCAAGAAAAATACGAAAAATTTCTGGGAAAAAATAAACCAGTGTGTGGTATGCATCTGTAATTTTGGCATTTGGGAAGCTGAGGCAAGAGGACTACAAATAGGAGGCCACCCTGGGCTACCTAGTTTCAGGGCAGCCTGGGCTACATAGTGAGACATTAAAAAAATAAAAACCAAACCAACAAAATTTTCCAAAGGAAAAAAATAATTTTTCTGGGAAAATGATTTGAGTATAGAACAATAGAGTATTTTCTTCTCTGGATCACCCAGAATTTCTACTTTTTATGTGTGGGATTTCTAGCCTAGGGATCCTGGTAGGAGACACACACTCTCTGTTTTGCAGTAGGAAGTACCATTGGAAAGCCGGACTTACGGTTCCAGAATGGGGCGGTCTGCCAGTGGTTGTTGTCGTGTGTGAAGCAGGTCAGGCCAGGCAAGCTGCACTCTTCCCCCTTCCTCTGCCGTTTTTTCTCCTTCCTCTCCTTCTTCCTCCGCCGGTTCTCCTTGAAGAGCTGCAGTTTGCTGTCGACCTCTTGAGCAGCCTCCCTAGACCAACAGAAGGAATTGTTCTGATGACCAAAAAAGGTACTTTCTTGATGAAAAGTAGGATTGTTGTAATGAGCCTTGTACACATGAATACATGCAAGCCACCAGCTCCATTGTGACAGACGACTTCCGCTTTTCACAGAGGGCTTCAAAATATAACCCACAGCAACAGAGGCAAACTCATTAAATGACAGTTGTCTTAGAACTTTACTAACCCGTAACGCTCTTTTACACATAAGCATGAATGGAGCTAAATGTCAGCATGAAGCAGTGCATCCTCCAGCCATAACCTTTGGACAAATGACGTCATTTCCGGGTAGCTCAGTTCCTCTCAGCTAGTCACAGAGTCAATGAATGCCAAGTTGGACCAGATGGTTTGGAACTGAAGGTTTTAAAAACTCCTTTGACAAATTCTAAAAGATAGGTTTGGAAAGCTAATTTTTAAAAAATTACCTTAAATTTTCCAGCCAGGTATGGTGGTGCATGTCTTTAATCTCAATGCTCGGGAGGCAGCGGCAGGCGGATCTCTGTGAGTTCAAGGCCAGCCGGGTCTAATAGTGAGTTCCAGACCAGCTGGGGCTACAAGGAGACCCTGTCTCAAAAAGAAGAACAACAAAAATTCCACGTAGAGTCTACATCTTGTTGATTTTCAAATACTAGGTCTCTCACACATATAAATGTTGCTATTGTTTAAATAACTTTGTTCCTTCCACTCTGAGAAGTCAGTGTTATTTCTGGTTGCTCTATTGAACACCCTAACCATCTACTCTCCATGGCTTTCTATGAATGGCCATGCGTGGAGAAGAATCTGGTTTCCTGTGTGAGGCAGAGCCAGCATGCAGTTAGAGTGAAACTCTGTGTGGCTCTCTACCAAAGGACTCCAGAAGGATCCTACAGCCCTTTGGTGAGGCCTGTGCTTTCCGCTCCCTTAGCAACATGCCCTCCTGGATGGATTACTTCTTCCAGAGCAGTCCCACTTGGAACACAGGGATCCCTCCCTCCAGCTTTGCAAATCATAGTAGACAGTCCACGACGCCCAGTAAACATGAAAATCAGTTACTTACTTGAAGGGGTGAAGATGGCTCTTTAATTTCTCTTGCCTTTTTACACCTTTCTCTTTGTTGTAATAGCTGCAGGCCAGAAGATGACAAAGTGAGTCTTTATGATCGTGCACTTGTTCCAACAGTTCACATTTTTAAAAAAAGCAGCCGTGGCATTGCACAACACGGGTGCACTCACATACATACAGGCAATACACTCATACACATAAAATAAATAAATAAAAATAATAAATAAAATATTTCTTTAAAAAGTAACAGAGAAGATAGAAAGTTATTCTTTTGTCACTATTTCAGCTCAGTAGGATTTGCTTTCACCTTTTGCTTGTTTGTTTAATTTGACTTCAACAGGTGAGGCCAGCCATACCATATGGCAAGACGTTCATTACTGAGCTCTGCATTGGTAAGGAAAGCAAGCCTTGTGCTAATGACTCCGGCCCAGGCAAGAGCACATTTAGGAAGCAGTGGACCCTGGGGTGCATGCTCACCTCTGTTTACTGCAGGTACATTCCTCGGGCTTCCGTCTCTTTAGGTGCCCCCTCACTTCTCTTAAATTCTTAATTTTATCTTGCAGAGCTTCAATCTGAAAAACATATACAATTACCTTCGAAGATCAGGACTTTTCTTTACAAAGTACTGTTCACCTTATTTGTTGTATTGCATAATTCTAACTATTCCAAATGACCATCTTAAAAGAAACTAGTTATAGAACACATCTACTTCTTTACTGCAACCAATATGTTACAGACAAACATTAACAAGGGCCTCTTTTATGAGTGAATAATTTTCTAAAAACTGTACAAAAGACCATTGGGCTAATCCCCACTTTCCCACCCTTGCCTTCAATGGATCTACATCATTGGAGGAAGATAAATATGTTGGTTGATTTTCTAGTTTTCATGCAATTACAAAAAACATGATGTATATACATGGAACATCCCACTAGTCACAGCAGGGCTGGTGGCTGCACACACAGCTATGCAGACTTCTTTCTACTTGTTTGCATGTTAGTTTGTGGTGCTGAGATGGAACAGAGGTTCTTGCTGATGCTAGAGAAGCACTCTACCACTGAGCTCAACCCAGCCCCAGCGCTGACCTCTTTATCGATGTATGCTTTATGGTCCTTCCATGCTCTGGCTGATTGGTACAGCTCTCTCTCACAATGGATTGTATCATTTGGAAGAATAAAGCATCTGTGGAACCAAACAAGATCTGTGAGAAACGGGCTTGCTGTCTCTAATGTAGAGACACCAAAGAAAGCATACTATCTCCAACCTCTCAGAGTGGATAAAAGCACTACGCATAGAGCTGATTCCTGGACACAGGTAAATGAGAAAGTGCCCTAGCTGCTGGCTGGGCAATGGATAGTGTCACCTCTTTGTGACTTGATCATCCCTAAGTGCATCTTTCAGGACAGTTTTTTACATTCACACCACTGAAATAGGCTCCATTTCCAGACTTAAGCTTTTAAAGTCGCCAGTAAGTATACACAGAAAAAAAGAGAGATTTTCATAACCACAATGCAAATGGCTGACTGAAAAAAAGTACAGAATGAGGAGTGTGCTCAGTCCACCCCGTTCTTTGTTAAATAACACCTTAGTATTCCACTAACTTGTAAAATTGTTTCACCCTTTCATTTTCGCTGTGTTGAGGATCTAACTCGGGGTCTCTAGCATGCTAGGTGAGCACCCTACCACTGAGCTACACTGTACCCCCAGTTTTTGCATCAAGGTTCTTATTTCTTTTTCTTTTTTCATAAAGTCTAATTTATCCAGGTTGGCCTCAAATTCGCTATATAGTTGAGGATGACCTTGAACTTCTGATCCTCCTGCCTCTATCTCCCCAGTGCTCCGATTACAGTGTGTGCCATCATGCCTAGTTTATGTGGTACCGAGGATCAAATCTAGGGTTTCGTGTACACTAGGCAAACACTCTCCCAACTGCGTTATACCCCCAGTCCCATCCATTAAGTTCTGAAGTAAAGCAACAGTCCCAGGAATAAAGACAGGTGCATATGAGCATGTAGTTCTAATAACTTTAGATTAGACCCAAGGGTAAAAATTCTAGCTAAGATCATACTACCCAGTGACCCCAAAGTGATGAAACTGGGGATAAAATTAAGATCTAGTAATTCAGAAATAAAATATTTCCCTATCAAGAGAGTAAGTAAATTTTGGGAGGAACTAAAGAATCAAGTGAGTCTACTAAGTTATAGAGACCACATCCCTTTGCCGTCTGTGTGACTTCAAAAACCTCTCTGTTCTTCACAGTCTGTGGCAGGTCAGGTTTTTATCTCTCTTATATCCTTTCCTACTCCACACCAATATTCTAGAAGCCTCTTTGGGATCCACTTCCCTGCCTTAGGTGTGTTACATTTCTGTGGCCTGATTGTGTAATGCTCTAAGTCATGGGGGCTGAGGAGCATGGAGAACCTCCAGCAGTCCCAGAACTATTTCCATCTGTTTCTAGATGCTTCCATGGGTAACTATTTAGACAGGAACTCCACCTATGCCTGCTAAATCAAGACGTGATAGAATTGCTCTGGCTGGGTTCCCAGCTGGTTAGCTGTAATGGGAAACTAAAGCATGTGTCTAAATTTGTGATGGTCTAGACTCCCCATTCCTTCCTTAAGCTCCTTGTTACACAGGTCAGCCTTCAGGCACTGCATCACTGAGTGACACTATTTTCAGCAAAATGCAAATAGTGATGACACTGGGTGTGAGGTAACACTGACCTCTACCCTGGGACCCATGAAAGCCATCTTACTTGTGTGTCACATGGACAGTGGTGGGTGGCCCCACAGCATTGTTGCTGTCTGCCAGCATCTCATCCCCATTATCACCAGCAGCGGACTGGTAATCTCCCAAGAGCTGGTGGCCTTCATCGTGGCGCTTGGCAATGGTCCTCGGTCGTAACACTTGCAATTCTTCTTCTTCTAGATTTATGTCATATATTTCTCCTTCAAATTCAACAGATAAGGAACGTGTCTGCCGGGTGTGGACGAATCTGGGCTTATACTCTGGATGGAGAGGAGAGCTATTAATACAGATGAGCTGATAGAGCTAGAAGGAAGTACAATGATCACCAAGCTCTGTGGGATCTTGGAGAGGGATGGGCAGTGCATGCTGCATTGCTGTGGGGCATCATGGTGCCTGGGATAGCTTGAGAAATCACAGTACGAAAGGCAGGCTCTTCTCCTGGCTGTGCCACTCCACAGCCATGTCCGATGGATGTCCTATTTCTCTGGACTACAGGCCCTTTATCCATGAAGGGGTGGGGGCAGGCTATGCACTTTCACATTTAATTTTCAACATGAATAGCTAAGGCAGCTTTCTGGATAGAACTGTATTCCCAGTTTATATTAATAATGACATTCTTTACTACATTTTGCAATTCTTTGTATAATGTATTTTTACCTGAAGCCATGTTTATGAAAGGAAGGTGTTATTATAATGTCTTTACATTAAAAAAAAGCCTATGAGATTGTCAGAACAAGTCTGTGAATTACTATTGTATTGTCATTCTCATTTTCTGGATGAAGGAGGGAACTGAAACTTTGGAGAAGCATTTCCCAAGGTTGCAGGAATAAGGACTGGAATGTCTCAGTTTACAGTCTTATTGCTGGGCTTTTTTTTTCCCAAAAGGTGAATGCTCTGTTGCTTAATCTCATGTTTATACAAATACAGGGAAAATGCTATTAAAAAATAAATCAATCTGTGAATGTTTGGATCAGCCAAGTAACTTTTCCAATACTGGAGATAAAGGGTAAGGTCAGCACATACATTTGTGACTGTGGAATATTGCCACATGTTTTCAGGGTCCTCAATAAGAACTTTAATATGCAAACTCTGGCCTCTTTGTCAGATACACTCAGGCTCTGTGAGGTGTACTCCCCTGGCCATTTCTCTCTAGCCTGCTGCTAAGTCAGGAAGAAGAGGGGTACAGAGATGGCTCTGAGACAGTTGCCTATAGGGTCCCTAAGTTTTCTGTTTTCACTCCATGATAGAAGGTGACCTGCATTGCCGTTGGTGGGAAAGAAAGAAACCTGCTTTTGCTCTCGAACACATGAGAGTCCACACAGTTTGGAAAAGGAGTCCTGGTCTTCTGTTCATGCACAATGCTGACAAGTCCATGTGCTTTCAAAATGGTGTCAAACTTTCTGGAAGAGGAGGGCTTCTCTGTCTCTGAGTGGGATGTTTATATCAGGGCTCTCCTCCCTTGCTAATTTTAAATGTGATGTTCTTGTGTAATTTAAACCAGGGATTTACCTCAGGAAGAAAGAAAACTTGTGACTCACTGGTTTTTAACCTTTTAGGCTATGGGTTCCTTTAAGAATTTGTGGAAAACAACTGACTGAAAATACTGTGCATATACAAAGAATAGTCAAATTTGGACAAAATATCAGGGGGGTTCAAGATCCTAAAGCTAATTTTGTCTCTCACACACAAAATTTCTGTTCTAAACAATCCCAGAATTCTCTTGAATGACTTGGCCTCTAATTCTTGGACACAGAATTAAAGTGGACTTGCATTGCTTATTTCCTAACAGATAGAGAAAATAGTGACCACACAGTTGAGCCACTTTTTTCAATATTCCACTAGGTGGCACTATACTATCACTCTTAAGTAGACACTGTCAGCCTGTTTGCAATCACCTACTTGAGTTTTTATGAAGAAAATAGTAAGCAGGGCATGCCATACGGAATTCAATGAGTTTGATCCTGCTAGTCAACATTATACAACTGTTCGACAATTTTTTAAAAAAATATGCAGATGAAAAATGCTCCTTAAAAAACTGCTTATGCCTTTCCTTTTCTGTTAAACATACATGCACTGATACCTTAGGCTTACTTAACTTTTTAAAGTGACTTAAAGCAGGCAGATGAGGACATTAGCATGAAGGTAAGGTAAAAATGGATGTACAGCATCTGCTGTGTCTTCTGGAAGATCCATCTGAACAGATGTTTTGCAACTCGTATTTTTACTAAATATATTTTTGTCCTGTGTTTAAGTGAAAATATTTACAAAGTAAAATTTCAAACTGATCTTAACTATCTCCTTTTAAACAGGCCAACCATTTGCTTTTAGCCTGAAATCTATGCACTGATAATATCTAAACGGTGCCTGGAACTTTTGTATTGCTAAGGCCTAGGCCTGCCACAGAGAGGGGTCACAAGGTATGGCTTACTTGGAGTCCCCTGGTTCCTCAGGAACTGCCTTTGACTCTTTCTCTGGCTTCGACTGGGGCGGTAGCCAGACTCCCTACAATGGCACTCTTTGTCCTTGTCATGGAAACCACGAGAGTAGAGGTTGCGTGTGCTCTGGCGGACGGTGAGCAGGTCGCTGGGTCCTTTACACTTGTGGATTCGAAGCTTGCCAGATGTGTCCTCGATACACTGCCACTTCTGCAAAAGGCAGCGGGGAAGGGGTTGGTGATGTTGAGCCAGGTGGTATTTGTTAAGGACTGTAGCCCTGGTTGGCTTTTATTTTAAGCACTGGCAATACCATTAAGGAGGATGAATGAAAAAGGACACGCCTCTAAGTGACCCTGCAGGACCTCCACTCTTGGCTCTGTTTCTTCCATGGCAGGCAAATACCCATGACAATGAAATCACTGGAAATCGGAACCACCTCGATGACACTGGAGCCAAACACTGATAAATAAATCCTCATCACCCAGACTAAACAGTCGTGAATGAAACATGGTAAAGCCCGGGGTAGCTGTGGGGCCTGTTTCCACCACGACCCCCACCCACCTCATTTGCTCTGGAAAAACAAACTTGGCTACTTTGTTTCCTGCCCCCTGGATTTCTATTGCCAGCCTGGGCAGAGTGGCCCACGAGGGAAACAGAAGACCTTATTCTGTGGGCATCACAGCCAGAGCCAGCTTCTCAGTCATTGGCACACTCATTAGGTTTTATTTTATTTTCCTTATCTTTCTATAGCATGCAGCTGGGCTCTGGGAGGCAGGGTCCACCTCCACAGAAGACACACGTGGGAGCTTTTACTGGAGTTTCTAGCTCCCACCTTCTACAGGGCACCTGCAGATGCTGCAGGTGTACTTCCAAATAATTATGACACTGCAGCAGGGCTAAGCAGCTTCTAGAGTACCAGTCTGGTTCTCATAACAAACAGCTCTTCACACTGGGAGGCCATTCAGAGGATCATCTCCGTTGAAAGATCCAATAACTCCTTTACAATCCTTAATGACCCATTGGGAGGTAGGAAAAACATTGGCCTTTGGGTATGAGTGTTGACAAACTGTGGTGCTATCAAACTTATCTTTTCCCTCCTTCCATATACGAGTGTCACCTGTGTGCTAGCATGTATTGATTCTTTTCTTTCAATGCACAGGTTTCTGTGTTCGGTTCCACGTATCTGCACTCTGAAGTGATGTGTTTGCTCTGTCACACACATTATCAACTAATTATTTCTTTTAAGAAATAATTGTCTTTAAAGGATATTTCTTTCCAGCACCACCTAAAAGGATCTTCTCTCTTTTATGCTTAAGTGAAAATATTTAAAAAGTAAAATTTCAAAATTGGGATGCCAGGGGATGTGTGCTGGCAGGACCATACCATTGTCTTGTGGGCATCTTGGATGCTAAGTCTTTAATGCAAAAAGGTAAAGTTTGGCCAAGGGACTTTGATGGCTTTGTCATCAGATAAATGAACTGTGTACAAAATGGCACACAAATCTCCACGATGAACAGAAGATTTACAGTCACTGTTCGTTTCCTGTCAAGGAAGTTGCATGTCTTTAGTATGCATTGAATTATCAGAGCTGCACTGGGGTTTCTACTCTAAACCCCCAGGATGCAGAGTTGACTTGGTGGTTCTGCTTTAGCTCTCTATCTACATTGCTGGTGTCACTAGATGTTTATTTCAAGCCATGTTGAATTTGCCTCCTTTCAGGGTTTGCTGAGAAAGCCTTGAATGTGCAGCGTCTTCACCCAGAGAAGCACGTCCTTAAAAGACAAGACAACTAATTGCTGAATACACCATGGAAGGGCAACACAGACTAGAATAATCTAAGGACTAAGTTGGAGAAGATTTAGCTTAAAAAATGTAAAGTCACAGGGCTGGAGAGATTGCTCAGTGGTTAAGAGCCCTGACTGCTCTTGTAGAGGACCTGGGTTCAGTTCCCAGCACCCACATAGCAGCTAACAACTGTCCAAAACTCCAGTTCCAGGGGATCCAATACCTCTTCTGTTCACAGCTCTGTGGGAACTGCAAAACATGGGTGTACTTACATACATGCAGGCACAACACTCATATACATAAAATATAAATAAACAAATTAATTAATTTTAAAAAATGTAAAGTCAACTGGTCCTGGTTGCTCATGTAATCTTAGCACTCGAGAAGTTGAGGCAGGAGGATTGTAAATTGGAGGGCAGCCTGAACTGTAAGACTCTGTCTCAATAAGTAATCGTACAAAACTATGAGCTTGCTTAGGCATGAGGGAGTTGTTTCATGTAATGGTTCTCTACCCTCGCTGGGCATTGGCGCCTTCTGCAGCTCCCTAAGTGACTGTAGTGTGCTTGAACTTCCTTGCAGCTGGAATCCACGGGGGGAGTCAGAAGGGATATATTTAGGTTAAATAGCTCAGGTTTATGAATCTTGAGAGACTTGAGGGTGTGACATGTACAAGGAAAGTTGTATCTAGAAACACGGAGATGTAATTGGGTCAAAAACAACTCTGGCTGGACAAACATTGCAGCCAAGCCCTCCATATTTCAGTATGTTGTTCAGTTTAACAGAAACCAGCTTTCCAGGCTCCATCTCCAGTAAGTTGACAAGTGATTTAGTTTTAGTGTCAATGTTTCTGCCTGTAAAGTGTGGCCTGCCTATTTCCAGGGAGGGTTCTAAGGCCCTTCGAGGAATGGACAATGAGCTTGAGAAATTGTTAGAAAAGTCCCCAAAGAAGTTCTTAGACACTGAAAGACAACTCCACCAAGAAATAATTATACACGATATAGAATTCTTGCTGCTGGGGCTAGAGAAATGGTTCAGCGGTTAAGAACACTGGTTGTTCTTTCAGAAGACCCGGGTTTGAATCCCAGCACCCACATGGCAGCTAACGACTGTCTGTAACTCCAGTTCCAGGGGATCCGACAGCCTCTTCTGTCCTCCGCGGGCACTGCATGACATGGGTGCACTTACCTACATGCAGGCAATACATACATACACATAAAATAAAAATAATAAAATTTTTTTAAAAAAGAATTCTTGCTGCTGACAAGGGGTGCCAAGATAGACAACTTTTCATAGTTGGAAAATTTGGGAATAGTAGAGATTCAACATGTCTGTGACTGTGTTTCTATCTTAAATCCAAATGGCTTAAGACTTATCCATCCATCTGGGTAATCTCTACATCCAGCATTTGAAAATGCTTAATGTCTGCAGGAGCAAAAGGAGTGGGCAGTGGACTCCGTTCACAGCCAAGTGGAAGCTTAAGCAGTGTTCCACCACCTGCTATACAGAAAAATGTGGCCAGTTTTATTCTTAAAAAAAAAAAAAAAAAAGGCTTACAGTCTGTATGTGACTCCAATTTTCAGTACAAACTGCAATGACTTTTGAGATGTGGTCTCGACTCTTGGGCTCAAGCAATCCTCCTGCTTCAACCTCCTGTAGCTGGGACTATAGGTATATACCATATACCACAATGCCTGTCCAAACAGTAATTGTTGAATCACAGGATTGTGGTGAAAACTTCCTAGATTTGCATAGCCACCACATATTAAAATTTTTTTTGGCTCAGAAGAGCTGATGGTACAAGTAGATTCTTGTAGAACACGGAGGTGTAGGCAGAATTGTTAGTGACTTAGTCCATTTGGAATCTAACCCACTTTGCCATCAGCCAAATTCCTTGTTGATTTCCTGTGATGAAGGGAACAGTTTCCTTCCTGAAGAATGAGTTTAACCATATTGGTGTCTGGCAATGTCTCTGGAACAGATGATGTATCTTAGAAAATCAACTACACATAGATATATACATGTATTGTGCACACACACACACACACACATGCTACCACAGCCACATATACATACATTCTTGGGTAAGGCAGTATTCACTGACAAAAATGACAATTATTTTCTCTACCATGACTCTCTGAAGAAGTCACAGACCCTATTAGATAGAGTAATTAGCTGGAGACTTAGAGAATCTTCCTATTGGCAAGCATACCAGGAATTTCAATGAAACACAATTAACCAGGAATTTCAATGAAACACAATTATCTCACAGTCGCCACAGTCATTTTAGGGTTCCATATCACGACAGTTTTTATGACTGCAATAAAACCTTGAAATAGCTGTCACAAAAATGGTGATTTTACTGGGAGAGTTTATAGACAGAGACAGAGAAAGGGAATGTTTAAAAACAATTATTCTCAAACTAAGACTGAAAGCCATTTAAATGGTCAAAAGAAGAGAAGTTTGCCTTGCAGAAGAGCTGTAGGGGTCAGAAATCTTGAACTCGGCTGAGGCACCTGCTAACGGAACATGGAGTCAGCCGTGTTTAACAGGCACCCTTGCGGGAATATGATGTCACTGTCTTGGGTTTATCCACTCCTGACATTCATTGGTAAATCAGTTCACTGCCATATCCAACTGGCTGCTTCTTCACCAACCGTATCCACTCCTTCAAAACCCTTTTCTGCTCTCTGGGACTATATCATTTCCATTATCCTTCTGCTTCTCTGACTTACAAGTTTGTATCAATAATTTATCACACATTCACTCTTCAAAGGTATCCACACACTACTGGCAAGGTGCTGGATAAGAGGACTTTATATATTCTCTTCAGTTGGTATTAGCCTTTTTAACTACACTGAACTTGGAATTAGAGACAAGGACCATGTCATGTTCCTGAACTGTTCCCCAAAGTTATCACAGTGGGGCACCACTGTGTTCAGTAATTGTGTGTTCACGTTTATGATTATTTCTAGCTGCCTGTGTATAACTAACACCCAGTGAAGATGAAGAGGCTGGTTATTTTGACACAAGAATACAGGTGTGCAACTAGATTGTTAAAATCAAACCAAATGAGGAAAACACTCCATGCCTTTTGAAAAATGTCATCACCATCTTTACCGCTACTACCACTGTCTACTGAATGCTCGCTTGGTGCTAGGAATTGGTGTAGAGCACTTATATTAATGTATTTATGCGGTCTTTACAGCTACCCAAACAGTTGCTGCCTGTCATTTACTGAGGCAGTGAATGTTACTTGCATTCTATTTAGGACTTAGAAAGTGTTTTATTTATATATTAGAGTAGCTTGAAGGAGGATTCTGGCTTATAACATAGAAAAGCTAGGAGTTACACAGAAGCTGCTCATCCCATTTCTCTGTAGATGTGACCAAGGCGGCTATGTGAGTGGAGCCTTGGCAGGGTCACAA